TATGAAGCTGCAACCTTCAAAATTTCGGAGACATACAGTGGTTTCTATAATATTTACTCTTCTTCTCAAAGGGAACATGATTTTGAGAAAATGCATAATGGCGTTATTATCATGCAGGAAGTTTATTAATGCCAGTCATGTGTAAATATGTTCTGCTGAAGTGAAACTTAACAGAAACAAAAATGTACATAATGAATATGAGTGCCAGCAACACAGTACCGTAACACAGTAAAACAATTATTTAAACCCAAAATCCTCACTTCTTTAAAACACAAAATCATTATAAGTGACTCATCAGAAAATGCTTAGGAAAGAACAAAAATGAAAAAAAAAATAAAATTCTTCCAAAATTAATCAGAGTCGATATTTAAAATAGCACACCCCTCAGATTTCTGTACACACCATAACACAGTAAAACAAATATTTAAACCCAAAATCCTCACTTCTTTAAAACAAAATCATTATAAGTGACTCATCAGAAAATGCTTAGGAAGGAACAAAAAATGAAAAAAAAATAAAATTCTTCCAAAATTAATCAGAGTCGATATTTAAAATAGCACACCCCTCAGATTTCTGTACACACCAATCTCTTTGTCACGTCTTTCGTAGAAACATGCTCTGCACTTAATGCTCTGAATCCTATTGTCATTTGTTTGAAAGCTGAAGCAGTAACCACAGGAGACCTCACGAAATAGGCCACTTTTATTTTTATTTTTCTGCTCTCTTGTCTCAGTTTTATTCTAGCAGTGTCTAGATCGGTTCCATTCCTCGACTTCCTCTGAAAGAGGTCCTCGAATTCATATTGAAGAACGATAACTTTCGACCAGTGTTAGAAAACGTCTTTATCTCGCGGACAGATCGACCTTCACCTTCGAACGAGAGACTTAAACTTTTTAATCAGTTTCATTGCTTTCTTTATTTTCACTTACTGAAGTGGTTTCGTGGCCTTGGTTGACGTTGCAATGTAATGGAGGTTTTGAGAGAACGAGAGTGGGCAGAGGAAGCCGTTTCTCTTACGACTTCCGGATTAAATGGGTAAATCCCCGGATATCTGAACGCAGCTACTGCAAATCTTACGGTAGCAGTTTTCATCCAGATTTCGGATAATAGTTTGGAAAACTGAAGTTAGCTAATTCCTTTTCCAGGATTATCCCCCCTGAAATAGTCCAGAGCTTTAATCCAGTTACGCTTCAGATCATGGGAAAAGGTTTGTTCCAATGGCTGGCGATTTTGTTATACTAAACAAGTTAATTTCGCTAATGAAAATGTAGCTTTCACTTATTTCACTTAGAACTTGATAAAACGGATGGCGTTTTTAGCCTAATAGGCAGCGGCGTTATTGCATGTATTGTAGTATAATTGTTCATCACGAAATAAAGTTAAAGAAATCAGGTAAAGAAACCTTCTGATGCCCCCCACCATAAAGAACAATAAACACGACACCCAGTCACATGCAAGCGTTAATAACATAGCTGATTGGTGTAGCACTGGGAATCTTGATCTGTGCCCGCGCGAATATTCAGGCATTCCAAAATGGCGGCAGCACGTGACACGCGATAACTTTTCGAGCTCTTGCAGCCTGTTGAAGTAGACGTCGGCGGTTACAAGATGGCGTTGGTGGTTGCTGAACGTGATTCATTGCTTATAGCAACTAAACGTCGGCAGAAACTTACAATACTTTCGCATTTACTTTCATCAAACTCTGGCCACATTTTTATCTGGGTGGCGCTAAGTACTTCCTCTACCCTGTTACTGTGAAAAAAATATATAGATCCAGAAAATCCATTAATATCATTATGCCGAATTTCAGGGCCGTAGAATTTCTTATTGTTCAGAACAATTTACCTTAGCATTACAGAATTAGCGTGGGAGAGCTAGAGCTTACCACATCACCTTTTACTTTTCTTGGTGTAAGAAGGGATCGGAGGGGGGGGGCCTTCTTTGCGTTTAAGCTATTTCACACTTCTCCTTTTCGAACGAAGAACGCAGATATTTCACTTATGGACTCGAAAATATTTCTTCATTTCCTAACTTATTTCTGATACGATTATTTTTCTCTCTCTCTCTGTAGGGCTCTAGAGCCCTTTGGACCTTGGCCGTTTTTTTTTCCAGTTTCTTAATTCTATACTCAGTAGGTAGTACTCCTTGGACGAGTAATCAACGCGTCACATGGACGCTGCCTACACACAGAATAAACACACAGACATCCATGCATTGAGTGGGACTCGAATCCACGACCCCAGTGTTGGAGCGGGCAAAGACGGTTCATACCTTAGACCGCGCGGCCACTGTGATCGTCTTTCTAGTACGATGCGTTCCAGTAAAATCAATACTCCCATAGCATTATGTTCCATCACATCGCTATCATACAGGGTGTCTACGATGAAACTCCCGATTCTGTTGTATTCTCAGGAGGTAAGGAATAGAGATAATGGCCATATTATTGACATATATCAGTCACTCAACACAAAAAGGTTTATTTAAAAAATCAGTAGACTTGTACGTGAGCACCTTTGGTGACACGTATTCTGGTCTGCAATGGAGTTCCACCCAGGTCCGTTGTAACATGTCTGGAGTAAAGGTACCGACAATTTACACGATCCGGGCCCAGAAGTCTATAGGGTCTCGCTCTTTAGTGGTGCAGTCAAACAGTATGATGTCAGAGTAACGCGGAGCCCAATCCGTTGGACCGTCTCGTCTCATTCCCGTCCTGGGAATGTTGCACTCAGAGCTTGCCGCACGTCTAGGGACCAGTGGGGTGGAGCTCCGTCTTGTGGCTGTCGGTATTCCGGTTGAGGAAAGGCATGTCCAGGTATGAGCTACCTGTGACAGTCTTCCCCGCAAAGAAAAACGTTCCGATGATCATGTTGCACATGGTGTCACACCATGCGCTCTCGCGCATGCTCAATGACGCTGTGCGGCTGTTGTGATCCCCATATCTGAACGTTATGCGGTTTACAGCACCAGAGACATGAAACGTGGCCTCGTTTGTCAGAAAGTTGGGGCCGATTCAGTCAAGCATGTCACAGGCAGAATGTGTCGCCGTGGGTTGTCCTCTGGTTTCAGCTCCTGCAGAATCTGCACCTTGCACGCATACACAACCGATTTCGGAGAAGCTTATGCACAGTTACTCGTGGCATTGACAGTTTCTGTGAAGCCCGACGAATTTGTTTCTTTGGACTTGGATGAACGCCGTACGGGCGTTCTCTTCCTTCTCATCGGAGACACTTTGTCGGCCTCCATGCGCTTTCAAGACACTTCCAGTCTCCAGAAACTTGTTCTGCCATGCTTCGATACTCTGTCAGTCTGGTGCTGCTTTTTGATAAACATGACGAAACTTCTTTTGCACCCTCAAAATGGATTTAAACTCATATAACCACACAATAACTTGCACGTTCTCCTGAGCTGACGCCATCTTTGCGTGAAATGACAACAGCGCCCCAACGGTGGCCCGTGAAGTAGCGGGAATTTGAGCTCCTGTTGTACACAGGAGACACTTAACACCTGAAAAAAACTTTTTTCTTATTTTTAAAACATCTTCAAATTCAGGGCGTTTCATTGTATAAACCCTGTATGTTAATTTTTAAGAATATGAACTTTTATTTTTGTACTTAACGAGTTTTTATATTTGTCCATCGTCTGTCATGAAAGAAGCCAAATTTTCGGAAAATGGAACTTCTTCAGTCCTCAGGAGCAGATGAACTGAAGGGGAGCTACTTACATGATGCCGTTAAAAGAGCTAATTTCAATTCCGTATTTTCCATTTGGTATTGCCTCATATACTCTTACACCTACCAAGTAGCCTCCTTCCTTCATACAATCCCGACAGATCTTAATGCAGAATTTTATCTCCTGGGATATAATGATGTGTCGCCAGGTAAAAAACAAACGGCCTTTCCGAGGAATATATTGTCAAGATTTTTGTGAGAGACGGTGTATGGATACTTGAATAGATTTACTGACCACTTACAGATCGTCATTACAAATAACTATAACATTATCAATGATTTCCAAACTTCACAAATCACTACTCACTAAGTATTTTTCAGCCTGCGTGTCGTCACTAATTGTTGCTTGGTAACAGCTCCTATAACGGAAATTGTTCATCTTCTGTGCTTACGTCGTTACTGCCCGGCGAATATCCCACAACTGAACTGTCAACTGAACTATATCTCCATTTTCACAAACTTCCTTACAGAACTTAACTAAGTGGTTGCTCCAACTGTCTTGGTTACAACTTTTCTGTGCGGACCACATAGAAAACACCGTTATTCTATTGTTGCTTGCAAATTTTTTGCTGTGGTAACGAATTTACCGACCGAATTTACATCTCAGTCTTCGATCGAAGTGTAATACAAACAGAGCTGTGATGTTCATGCTGATTTCGTACTTCGCTTAATTTTGGACTCTGAAGATGGAGGTAACATGATCCACCGAAACGTGTATTGACAACACGGTGTTAGAATCAAGAAGATAGAACTCTTCATAGCTACCGCTCTGAGAATCTAAGATGCTGCAATTTATAAAACTGATCGAATTCGGAAATAATTTACACGGTGTTGGTAAATATTTTATTAATATGCCACTTATGCAGCAATTTAGGGAAGTGAACATGTCAACGTTTTAATGAACTGATAACCTGATATTAACATGTGATATTCTTGCACAACAAACATTCACTGTCCTTTGAATCATCTGATGATTGGTCAAAATAAAGCATAAACCCAATATGGAGAATAATTAAAAAATGATCTGGTGTACTGTGTCATCCAGGAATTGTCTCTGAATAAATGATATACATATATTATCCGATAAAATGAAATTCCTGGAAGCGACGCGAGTGGCTGAGCAGCAGCTGGTTTTCCAGTAAAGACTCGGCTCTGTTTAGTCGTGAGGTTAGTGTTTCAGATGCCTATCTGCTATTGTCCCATAAATACGTAAGGTTGCTTATCAAAATCAAAGAAATACGGTTGGTTTTACGCATCGATTTTTCATTTCAGGTTCGATCAGCAACATTGACGGTGCCGAATACCACTGTAACAAGACCCAAGTACGCAAAGTTATCTCCGGCGTCGTGGGCGCCGCATCCAGCGTCACGTCAATCCAAGTTGCGAACCTCTTGCGTCTCTTTAAGATACCACAGGTGAGTGTCTTACGTCTCTTCAAGATACAGTGCATTCAATGATAGAGGAAACCTGGCAGCAGCGTAGAGTGAGCACAACATTTCTCACAGATTGCTGCTGTAACTGCCGATGACAGAATGAGTTATTAGCGCTGATAAATGCGCGCCGTCAGGTGGTCAGATCTTGTCACTGCAGTAAGTCGCTTTAAATCAGTCTGTGTTAGAGGTGTCGATAGGCGGTCGACATTTACACTGAAATGAAATTCACTATTCGACAGCGTGTGTTTAACGTCGAAACTTTTGAAAAGGAAAAAGACTTAAATGTATCCGTAAATTTCTTCGTAAATATCCTGAATCGCCAGTTCCCACAAAGTCATATGTGTCCAAGTTTGTAAGAAAGTGCCTTACCACAGGTGCAGTGTGTGACAAAGAAGCAATCGAAGAGGATTGTACTGACTGAAGAAAAGGTTCGGGATATTGAGACACGACTACAAATCAGCCCTCGAAAATAGCTAAGATTCTTAGCACATGAAAGAAGTGTTTCGCTAGGATCTATCTATCTGTATGTCTGTCTATGGCTCTATCGCTCTTATGGATCTTTGTCGCTTTCTTTCAGTTTCTTAATTCATACACAGGCGGTACGACTCTTTGGACGGGGGATCAGCCCTTCAAGGCCTCTACCTACACACATAACAACACAAACACTATAAACGCACACAGATGTCCATGCCTCGACTGGAATTCGAACCCACGATCGCAGTGTTTGAGCAGGAGAAGACTGTTCATGCCTTAGACCACGTGGGCACTCTAATCAGCAAATTCAAGCCATCCACTACCTAAAATCCATATCACATCTGAGCCAACACCAATCACATCATGAATAGAAAAAGATATAGAGATAAGTGCCAATTGATCGGAATAAGGGAATCAGCTCAGAGCGAAGTTAGCTGCTAGATAGATGAGTGGAAGTATTATTTTTATTATTATTATTATTATTATTGGAAAGGTTGGGTTTCCCCATGCACCGCGACTAATAGTCTATTGTACGTCCCCCTTTGATATTCTACCAGTCGCCATACCCTTCCGATACTGGTGCTCGCTATCAGCCCCGTTCACCCAGCGGGGCTGGCAGTGGTACCCGATACTTCCCCATCTACCGGAAGCATTGGAAACTACTGGGGCCGGAAACTTCTGCCTAATATTGCTCAGAGGTCTCCTAGAGACATGAGGATCTTTTACGTGGCGTAAATCTACGACACGGGACCCACGGCTTAAAGTCCCTCCCAGAGAACTTGTTCCTTGTATTTTTTCGCCGGGTTTGAACCAGCGTACCTTGAGTCATGAGGTGGGAACGTTACGCCTGGACTACGGAGGCCGCTTTGAGTGGAAGTAAAGTAATGATCATTCTTTCCTTGACCCGAGTGTAATTATTTTAAAAATTTCGATGTCCCTATCTTTAAATGTGATGTACTTTAAAACTGCTTCTAATTAGAATATATAATTTAAGTTCAGGTATCCGGTCTCATTGTGAACTTTTTATTTGAGGAAATACTTTATATTGTTTTTAAGTCCTTTGTGTGTTTCATTCTATTTAGCTGTGGTACGACGAAATATGTAGGGAAATTGATAGATTGTACATATTTCTTTCCTTCTCGTCCTGTTTGTAGAGGAAGTGGGAATTGAAAATGGGAGATAAATCCGGGGGAAAGCCAAAGGAGAGGGATCAGTAGGTCCTACCCAGCTACAGTTGTCTCTCTTGTACTTTGTTGGGTAACAGCCGTGCGAATTTAAGAGTTGTAGAACGGTTGACCCACACAGTTGTGTGAAGTTGGCCTGGACTAGACGTGAGGCAGTTGCAACTCATGTCCATGACAGATATAAATTGGACGGACTGCGTGGAAACATTTTAACGTTCGACACAGAATTTTCTTTCGGAGAAGTTCGTACACCGGAATGGCTTCTCTGGCTACTGCAGATGTAAGTATAAATGTTACTAGTAAATGAATTGATACTTTTTTATTTAAAACTTTCAGTGAATGCTAATCTATTCTTGATGTTTGTTTACAGTCTTAGAATCGAAATGAATTTGTTAAAGTGAAATAAATTTAAAGATTTATTTAATATTGGCCTCAAATGGCCTGTTCCTTTAAAAAAAAAAGATAAAAAATCTTCGTAATTTTCTTTTTGGACGTTTGTTGTGAGGAGGATTATGGTCTATGGAGATGTGATGCTCTGTAGATAAATATTAGCGATATGAAGAGGCCCATTGCGGCTATCTTCAAGGTAGAAGAGAAACTGTCATTTTTTAAATGTTTTTATTCCATTCATACAAATATTTCTGGAAGTGGTTTCATTTGATTCATTTTTATTTGCTTTCCACGTTCTGTTGATCATCGCTCGTCCTTATTCCCGATTTTTATCATCTTTTTCACTTCCTCATCTAACTCTCCTTCCTTACTGCTTGCTTTCGATATTTTGTTCTCCTGATTTGTGTCTTTTTCTTATTGATTTCTTTCTTATGCTTCTTGTTATTTCTATCTCATTTTCCACTTTTTTTCTGATTTTATTCCTCTTCTTCCTTTCCTCCCATTTGCTTTTTCTGTCTTCATCTTCCTCTTTCTGTTGTTCCTTCCCCTATTCTTTTCCCTTCTTTCTTCTTCCTCGTTTTCTCGTCGGCCTATTTCTTGTTCAACTTCTGCTTCTACATACACACATGCCACATACCTGATACTTATGAGGGATTTTACAGTTCCTGAACAGGCTATGACAGAAATTGGTGTTCAGATCTCATACCCTAACTTTCATGTTCTTTCTGCCTTCAGCTGGAACAATACCAGTTGCAGCAAAGGTTTTTGCTGGCACTGACTGACTCCTATCGTAATCTGCTGCCCATTAATTTCCCTGTCATAATTAGTGTCGCTAATTCCACCCTCCCAGTACACGTATTGCACCCTGACTGGGCTGTAAATGGATTTGAATAATTATTCGTTATAGATAAGCCTGTTATATAAATCACACCACTGACCAATCAATTGAGGAATCATTTGCATGTTAGAGTGAATGCAGTAACCCCATTTTACAGTTAGCAAATTGCACCACCTCCAAATTGTTACACATTTTGCAAAATTAGATTACTGAACAATGTGGCATGAATTGGCTCTGTAAACGTAAGTCACAAATGTCAGAATCCATTTATTTGAAATCTGAAAATTTTAAGATGGTTTTGATTTGTTTCATTCTGGTCCGTCACACTAATATTATGAAAAGGTTAAACAGTTCCATCCATTGTGACTGGTTAAGATTTTCTTCTTTCAATTATTCATGCCCTTACATGTTTCGGTCTTCAGAGACCATCCTCAGAGGGACACCTTTACATCAATACAGTTAGAAGCCACCATTACAGTACATGTTCTAGAAGTTAAAATATATACGTACAATATAAACAATATACAATTGGCTGTAAAATCTAAAGTCTTTACAACTACAGCGGCTGTTCCAATACTTTAAAATATTTATAGTTAGTTTGTTAAGATTCTATTGGAATTCGTAAACCAAGCTGGTTCGTGTCGTCCCTCTTATAATTTCTCTTGACGGGGGCCGCTGTGTTGTGTAAAAGCAACACAACTGGCCACAAACACATACAGGGCAACATAAAGGAACACTCTTCCCAAGAACGACATTCGGCCATGTTCTAAGAGAATATAGTGTACCTTTATTACAAATATCTGCCTATTAATCCATCAAAGCATAAAGTTAATATAAAATTTATTTACAAATTTAGTTCCTGTGTTCACGGAAACAAGCTGCACCTCCATCACAAGGAGTATCTCGTTAAGGCTGTTTAAGAAAACGATCAATATTCAGTCTGATAGTAACACAGAAACCAAAAATAAATATATTGGGAGAACGTTGCATGAATTTTGGATAGGAAAGAAGGCGGTACAGATTTTCACGCGTATGTGTGACTATGGGCGCGCCATAGCTCAAGCGGTTAGTCTCTGGCTTCCCACCGCGGCGGTCCGGGTTCGAGCCCGGGTCTGGTCAAGTGGGATTTGTGGTGGACAAATTGGCACTGGAGCAGGGTTCCTCCGAGTACTTCGGTTTCCTCTGCCAATCTTCATTCCACCAATTGCTCCACAGTCACCCTCACCTATCACCTGGGGCTGGTACAATAGGCCAGAAGTTGCCGCAGTACAAGGGACTTAGTCCCACCCCACTACCAATTAAAAAAATATGTCACTATAGACAGGGTTTGGGATTGGATTAGATATTGGATTTACTGACCACTTGCACCCACAACTCGGAACTAGTGCCATCGCTAATCTCCATAATTCACCAATCACAACACCCGCTAAGCCTTTTCCGGCCTGCCGTGTCTTCATCAACCGTTTCCTGGTAACGGCTTCACCTTCCGCACTCAAATCATCTTTGAATGGCGGCTCTCTTCCGACTGTCCAGTTTCTTCACAGCCTCCCATACAGAACTGGTTTGGTTGCCCCTATTATTTTCCTTATAACTCCTCGCCACGGCCCGCGCAGACAGCACCATTCATTCTCTTATGCGTACCCGTTGCCGCGGAAACGTGTTTACCAAGCCATTCCTTAATAGTGACCATCTATTCTTGCTTACTACGAATCTGCTGCCTAGCAACGGACATCGTTCCGTTTTGTGTTTCACGGCCGTTGCCTAAAACGAATGTTTTTTTTCAGAGCCGTTTGCTAGCAACGAATGTTTCTACAACTCCACATATCTTGCTCTGCAGATTTGCCACAATATAGTAACCACTCTGGTTTAATGACAATATTACTGAGAACGAAACCAAACTCACAAATAAAACCTGAAGATGACGTGTATTGTTATTTAACGCTAAAGCGAGTGGGACACACAGTTACGGTTGTCCAGTGAATGACAGAATAACAAACACTCTTAAACAAGAGTTTTGTTAGGATACCTGCCCATGTACGAGTATTCTGATGTGTAATCAATACTTGAATGCCCATCTGTAGTGTCACAATCGTTGC